AGTCTTTCTCTACTACCATGGTCTTGGTTAGCCAGAGATACCAAGTTTCCTCCACTAATTGCTTCTGCTTAATTTTCCATGCAGCCTGACAAAAAGGAATGTGGCAAGTTCTGTCTCAGCCCGAAATCAGGCAAGACAGGACTGCATTGCCCTTATTGACCCAGGAGACTGAGAAGCCAATTAGAACTCCTTCTAATTCATACTCCAGTGGTGGTCAATGCAGGGCTGGTCAAGAGCATACAAGGAGAAGGCACTGGGTGCTTCCTATCTAGTTTGGATTTGGGGGGGGGAATGAATTAGCTCATTCTGACATCATTTTGGATGATTGTTAAAAAGCACAAAACATTGGAATGTCAAAATATCTTAAATAAGTTGGACTCCTAGAAATCATTGGAGTTCTTTTCATGAGTAGCTGAAGATTTCCAGAGCCTGCAAACCCCTTTGCTCAAGAAATGCCTATCAGGAAGGGCATTTAGAGGATATATGACCTTCTTTTCCAAGGCTGATTCACTTTTCTGGATCTTAGAGACAGAATGATGACTGTTAATGAGGTGTGAAAGGAATGTTACTTTGAATAAAAACATATAAAGGGAAATTGTTTATAAATTTGAATTGATAAGTACCTCAAATATTAAAATTCCTAGAATAGACACAGTTCTTTTATACTACATGGACTTGTATCAGGACTTTTTCCCTACTTTTTTTTCTCTTTGCAAGTTCTCTTAGTGTCAGTATGATGAAATTCTGTGATGTTTACTGTAGAGAGAATAATCCTCGTTATTTCCTAATCAGTCTTTAGATTGATTGAAATTTTATTTTGAAATTTTGATATTTTATTTTTGGTGGCTTAGCAATGTTTCCTTCTGTTTCCTCACAGCTGTGCTTTGGATAAGTGTCCCACAGAGGTGCCTGTGTTAAGGGCATGGAGGAGATAGGAGGTGTGCAGGTCTCTGGGACTGTGCCTCTGAAGGAGTTTATTGGATCGTGATCTTTCCTTTTTCTCTCTCTCTTTGCTTCCTGGTCTGTTGGGTGAGATCTTGATTGTATTATGTACTGTCCATCATTGCCAGATGGTATGCTCCACCTACTTGAGACTGAAAACAGTGGTTCAGTCCAGTCTGGATGGGAATTTCCAGAGCTGTGAGCCAAAATATGCCTTTCTTCTAAGTTAATTGTCTCAGTATTTCATTTTAATGATAGAAATCCAACTTACACAAACACCTATTATTGGGAACTTCACCAAAAATATATTATTGGTAAAACTTATAGGATTGATTAGATTTTGGAGAAACTCTTACTTTTTTTTTCCCACATATGAACTATAGAAGATTTCAGAACATTTCCAAGTTAGGGGGTGGGTATGTATATTTAATTTAAATGTTCTTTGAGTTAGAGTTCATTAATCATATATCATCAGTTTTATGTTGGTCCCCGAGAGTTAAGATTAGCTTTGTTGGTGGTGGGATTATAACAATAGTAACAATGACTGCAAGTCACACTAATATATCTCACTGAATCACAAATGTTACATATATATATGTTCATCTTAGCCAGATCACTAGGATTCCTGAAGCCATTCCCCTTGTCATTCAGCTCAAGGAGGGAAATGTAGAAAGACAATGATCTTGATCAGTGAGAGTTTAAATAATTTATGTTTGTACATTTTATAAAAATACGTAATCATGTGACTGAGAAGGGCCTTTCCCAAGGCTCTAAAAGGGCTCTGTACAAGCAAGGAATCCCTTGCATATATACCTTGTTAGCTCTATGAAAGAAATCTACATATAAATATGTACTTAGATTAAAGTACTCCTACATCCCCAGATGGTGGGCATGCTAAGCTTCCCTTACTAATTTCTTTCAAATTCAGTTACTCGTTTCCTCAGTTTGCAAATCTTGCCTATTTTAACTATGCTTCCACATAGTTCCCTCTTGGTATAGGAGATGAAACAGACCCAAGTTTGAAGGAATTTGCCTGAAGCAGCAAATAGGTTTGGATTCAAGTTTTCCCATCCATAATAGAGAAGCCTTCCTCTTCATCACTGAGGTCTCCTTTTTACATGAATAGTTCTGAATTTGTGTGTCAGCATTATTTTGATAACCAGATATCTCGTAGTCCCACCAAGGAAACACTGTTCTGACAGGGGTGAATGATTATCTTGTCTAGCTGCCCTCTTGGAATGAGGATTTGGATTTGAGTTTTTGTGACCAGTCTTAGTGTTTCCCAGAGCATCTCACAGGTCTCTTGTGTGGGGAACGAGTTGGACCAAACTCTGAAGTAGAGAGTGCTAGAACTGAGACTGGTCCAGGTTCAAGCACAGGGTATTACTACATCTGGATGGCCCTGTTGAACACTGCTGAATCCCAAGTACTGGATGGAGATATAAAGAATTTTGAGGAAGGCATGCCAAAGCATATGCCCAGGAGTACCCTTGCCTAGATATAAATAAGAAAGATGTGGATCGCAGGTGGCAGAGCTCTTACTTTTCCTTTGTCCTTCACTTCTTTACATACAGGCAACAAAGCATACAAACATAGAATCTGTTGGAAAAGTTACATTTTCCCTGAAATTGCTCACTGTCATTTACTTGTATTTAGATATTGATAATTTTTTTGGGGGGGTCCGGTTGTGGGGCCTGAACCCTGGGCCTGGGCGCTGTCCCTCAGCTCTTCAGCTCAAGGCTAGCACTCTACCACTTGAGCCACAGCGCCACTTCCGGCTTTTTTCTTTTTGCTTATGTGGTGCTGAGGAATCGAACCCAGGGCCTCAGGCATGCAAGGCAAGCGCTCTACCACTGAGCCATCTTCCCAGCCCTATGGTGATTTTTTTATACAGAGTATGATGGTTGAACTTTAGTTTAAAAAGCTTTTGTTATGTTTTGTCTTCATCATGTTTTGATTCCTGGTTGTCTGTCCCCTGTCCTTCCAACCTTACTTTCCTGGTTGGATCTCTGGTAACTCTTTTTCTATTAACGCCTGTTGTCATCACACTATGTGTGATCCTCTCCAAATACTATTTGTGAAAGAGTCAAAGGATGAAAATCATCCACTTTGTTTGTCTTTGTTTAGGATATGGGCTAGATATTGGGAAACTGAAGTCAGCAGTGAATGACCACGTACACACTGCTCTTCTGCTTATCTTTTTCCTGTTGTGTGTACTCACTGTCTCCCCTTTGCCCCCACCCATGGTATAGCATTTGTTCCTGTATGAGATGGTTCAGAGCATCTTGTTTGAAAAATGCTTGATGAACTTAGCTTGGAAAAGATCCAAGGAAGGCATGTGAGCTTCAGATATTTGAAGGGCTCATCATATGAAAGAGAAGAATGCTTTTTATTCTTCTATAAAACCAAGTAATGAAATTGGGTTCACAGATAGAAGTTACAGGAAGATTCAGTCTATGATGATGATCAGAAATGGAATGTGCCACCTTGTAGTGGTCCATTGGCAGATAGTTTAGGGAGTGTATGCAGAGTTCATTCTTCTGGGCCTTGCTGAAAACAAGCATAAGGAAATATGGGTAATATTCCAATGTTAGGTAATATCCTGACAGGTGAGATAGCCTTTTTCTTTGACTTTACCTTCTTCTAGGTCCACATGACCCTCACACCCAGAAACTGGACTCTGAATCTCTGATCCCTGTATATGGCATCTCCCTGTGTATATAACCCCTTTCTATTGCCTGGCAAGGACCTCATTCTGCCTGCTGGCTTGACCAACTCCTCTTTGTCGACTCTGAAAATCATGGCCTTCACACGTGGCCTGTCTAATCATCATAGCTTTGCTAAGGGCTTTGCTAATGCAGATTAAGTCAGTGGTTGAAGTGGGTTAGTCCTTTCCCCATTACCTGTGATTCCACAAATCCATGACTTTTCATATTTAGCTGGGGGATCTGTGTTTGCCCTGATTTGTCAGTGGATTCCATTGGTGGATAATCTCATCATGGTGTACCTCCTCTGTGCTTTCTCTTCAGTTTTCTCCTTCACAGAATATTAGATCATAGCAGACTGGGACAGTTCATTTTGATCTGCTTAATAAGTTTGATTAACAAAATCTAACCTAATTTTTGTTGTCTTTATCTGTTAGCTTTGTTCTCATTTTCTTCCAAACTAGTGCTTTTTTGCTACCTAAGAGGTAGCTGAGCAATGCTTATATCCTCCATACAGCCCCCTTTGTTAAAATGCCAAATTCCTTCTACTCCAAGGCAAAAGAGAATATATTTGAAAAAAATCTACTTTTTATTGCTAGAAAGTAAGCTCCATGCATTTATATGTTGTGAAGTATTTTACTGAGTAGAATCTGTCCTTTACCATTAAATTTTTAAATGTAAATGAAAGAAAAGTCTGGTAAGACAAGGGGGTCCATTGTCCCGCAATGATCTAGACTTTGCCTTACTGGTCTAGGGGGAAGTTGGAGTGTATTTTCAACAGTGGAGGTGAAAAATTAGCAATGTCCTATGCCCACAGCTAAATGGACTTGAGTCTTTACGCAGTCATCATGTAGGAGCAAGAACAGCCTGTCTTATTAGCTGCTGTGGTGATGTTATGGTCTGGATAAGAAATGCTCTTCCCCCTTCAAAAAAAGGCTCATTACTGAGGGTGCGGTTGCCAGCTGGTGGCATCATCTGGGAAGTTCTGAAAACTTTGAGATGGAGTCTAGCATGAGAAAGTAGGTCATTGGAGGCACATCTTTGGGGGTGCAACTTTTCCCCAGCTTATCACCCGAACACTTCTCCCTGCCTTTTAGTAGCTGGATGCCTCCATCACACCTTCCTGAAAACATGATGTTCTATCTCTCTCCAGCTCTGAATCAGTGGGCCCAAGAACTATGGACTGAAATCTCTGAAACTGAATCACAATAAGTCTTGCAGCCTGTTAAGTGGTTCTGTTGCCTATTTTGACACAGCAAGCAAAAACTAACAGCAGCTGTGTCTATCACTTAAGGCCTTAGGTCCTTACTAAACCTTTTGTCTTCTTGGATTATGACCCTTAACCTTTGTCACATTACTGATTTGGAGTGTCTGCTTGATCACCTGGCAAAAGTAACACCATCTCTGGAGTACCTCAGTCTGCTGGGCAATGTGGCGTGTCCTAATGAGCTAGTCAGCTTGGAAAAGGATGAGGAAGATTACAAGAGATACAGGTGAGTGTCCATGTGATGGAAGAAATGAATAATGGTATCTCTGGAGGATGATGTGATACTGAGGGACGCAGAATCGAATGATAAATATTAGTGGACTTCACATGATGTCAGCACTCCGACCTTTGGAAAACACATAGCTATTGTCTCCCTTTGTTGAGTCACAGAAACAAGGCCGATGAAAAGCTGTTGAGTGGTCTATGTCAGAGGTTTACAAACTCTTTCTTTTCAAATAATAAGTAGGTTTTTTTTTAAAACCAGTTCTATGAAGTCTGTCATAACTATTTAATCCTGGTGTTCTGGAACATATGTAGCCTAAATAATTTGTAAACAAATGGACTTGGCTCTGTTAAAATAAAACTTCATTTATAAAACAGACAAGATTTGACCCCTGTTATAGTTTGCTGACCTTTAGTTTGTATTGTATTCTGCACTATACCTCAGACTCACCTTTTAGAGACAGACCTCTTCCCACCAAAGTTTAGGGAAATCACATACACTCCCAAGAGGAAGGCCCACATGCCTGTACTTCTTTGCCTTAAATCCATTAGCCATGTGCTTTGATGGCTCCAGGTACAAATTCAGTTTTTTTCTCTTCTACATCTAAATCATTTTACCTCTCTTGATTTTACCTGATGCACAAAATTCATTTTGGTTTCCTTCTTCATTTTGAATTCCACACACCCCCATTCTTGGTTCTTGTTGTATAAATGTTTTAATGATCTTTGCATGTATGTAGCTTTTCTCTGTGTCACAGTATTAACACCCTATCCATGTTAATGTGGAAAAGAGGAAAGAAGAAAGGGAATAATAGATAGGGTTTCAGGGACATAAATTTGAAAGTGTGAGGGAAGACCAACAGTTTCAGAGGAACTTGTTCTTTGAGGATTCATTGAATATACTGTGGTGACCAATGAAAGAATATAGTTGGAGCAATCACTTTATATAAGAGGAAAACCATAATAACTACTGAAGGTTATTTTGAATTTTAAAATGTATACACACATTAATAAAGCTACAAGAATTCAGTTATAGTTCTATTTGAATTGTATACCCTACTTCCTTTTCTGGATTTCTTCGTTAATTTTCAGGGGTCTTAGATTATCCCAAATCAACTTAGAATAAATTATAATCTTACTTTAAATAAGTGTTAAGTATTTCCCCATCATGAGAGCTTTCATTTGGGATGTGAGGCAGCAGTAGGTTTAAATGTGAGTTATATTTGGGAAAATGTAGTTCATATCCAGCAAGTCGATACTTTCACATTTCTAAGTCCTCACTTTAAGTTGTTTAATCACTTAGAATATAATTTGTTTCTGGAACACTATTCAGCTCAGGCATTTAAAAGCTTGATTGTTTTAAAATTGCAATGATTGGTATTGATTGTGCATATTAATGGTTTCACTGTTACATTTCCAGGCATGCTTATATTGTACTTGGATTATGTCCACTCTCACAACTACCCTCTCTTGCTTTCCCATTTCTGTCATCTCCCTTACTCCTTCACCCTTCAGTAGTTTCTCTACTTTAAAAAATTTTATTTTCCACATATGAGAGAAAACATGTCTTTCCTGTAGCAAGCTTATTTTACTTAACATGTCTTAAATCCCATTCATTTTATTGCATAATATCATTCTGTTCTTTATGGCTGCATATTACTTCATTGTGTATACATACCACATTTTCCTTATGCATTCATATGTTGATAAACACCTAAGCTGATTCAATAGCTTGGCAACTGTAGCACTTTACTTTAAATATATCTTGAGACATTACAAAAGTACAACAAAGTTTTCCCATTAAACATATTTTTAAGGAATTCTCATTTGTTTTCTGAATTTCTTTAATTCATAAAAATGACTTAATAATAGTATATGTGCATAACATGTGTATATGTATTCTATGTTCACAAATGCTTTCGTTCACATCCATTCATTTATTCGTGTATTCATGTATTCACTGTATTATATGTGTCTACTACTGTTGGCAAGTTTTGTTATTTTATTTTTCTAAAATGAGAGATAGTAGAAAGAAAGTTTCCATTTTTGTCCTGTTGTGTTTGGCCCCCAAAGAGAGGGCTTATAAGATTGCAAGTGAAAAAGGAAAGTTAATAACACTTCACTTGTTATTGTAAATGGTCACATTGGTTAAAAATTTTAAGATTCATGTTGTAAGGTAACAGATCTGATGTCAACTCAGTTTTGGCCAGGGAGCCTTTAAAATGGGAAGTGTGTTTCTATTAGTGATCCCCAATGACCTCTGAATCATCCAAGGCATCACAGTAGCAAACTTCAGATCATCTTTTGGAGATTCAGATGTTCAGATGGCTCTAGCATCCTCATCAACGGCGACTGGGCAGTGGCCATGTGCTCCCTGTTCTGTCTCAGCTTTTTGTGGATTCCATTGTAGAGGTTTCTCTCACTACTGTATACATACGTTTCAACATCTAGAGAATGGCTTCCAGTGAGTAACGACCAAGTCTACTTGTGACACGAAGCCTCAACAGTACCTAATTAGTGCTGGAGATGCAAACATCTCTCCATAATTTTTCTGGAGGTGGAGGTCTGGAATCACCTCTCCTTCTCAGAGCTGAGTACTTACAGGCAGATGCAGGGACCTTCGGGCTCCTCAGATGCCTGTTGACCATTTGGAACCTGTTTGAATGCTATTTGGATCCAACAAATGCAGTTCATATGCAACAGATGATTTTTTTTTCTCAGACTTAACCCAAATACTAATTCTTTAGGGGAGAGCTTGGTTCTCTAAGACTCATTTATCTCACGGCCTAACCTGGACATCCCTGGTCCTGCTCACCCCAGGTCTGTGTTTTGGGAAAGATAGGAGGAACAGACTGTTTTTAGAGTGCATCTAGCACCTAGCCAGGAGGGGATGAATTCTAGCACTTGTACATGGCCCAAACTATAACTAATCAGATTTACCTTGGAGAACCCATAAGTCATCCACAGAAAAGGCAAGATGCTTCTGCGCTGAGGGAAGTAGAGACTAAAAGCAGTGGAGGAAACATTAAATGTGTGCCACTCAGTTACACATTCACTGCATGCTGCATCTGATGGCACAATAGGATGGGAATGCGGGGGTTGATTCTCTAGCAGGTTTGCATTTTTTATTCCTTTATGCATTTCTTTCTATTTTTGATTGTTAGGTACTCACTCTTGTATTCAGAAGAGATAAATGTGTGCATGATACACGATGTAGTTCCAGTTTGTGGTCTATGAGTAGCTTTGCTTTGTTTATCCTGGAGTTTGTGCTTCATTTACCCCTGAGAAATTTTACAGTTTCACAATATGACTTTTGAAATCAGAGTTCTGGTGGCATTTCCATTTATACAAAGCCATGCAGCTGCTTTTTTGTTTTCTTTCAATAAAATATTTTTCTGGGTCCTTCACCCATAAAGCATGAGGTCTATCTACCTTCTTTCTAGCTGTTCCTGAAAGCCCCTCTATGTAAATTGATGTGACAATCCCACAAGAAAATTGTTTAAAGAATGAATGATATTTCTGTAGTTTACTGTTTTTCACTTTAAGTACATTTTCTGACAATATGTCTTATATTAATCATTTAAGCAATAGTAAGAGCTTTAAAGGAGTGTATTCAGCAGCAAGAATCCATGGTTCATTTAGTGCTGTCTAAAAAAATTTCTTATTGATTGGCATCCACTGTGGTTATGTGATGTAATATTTATAATATGTCACCCAGCCATACATCAAAACAAGTATGTGTATGTGTGTTGTTTCATTTCCAAGGAGATGTTGATTTCAAAGAGGTCAGCTCAGTTTTAGGTGATGCTGTGGCCAACCACTGGACCAGAAATGGGAAGTGAGTAGATTTATGAAGTCACAGATTTTTGTGGAGCCTTTCCTTCCCCAATCCCCAATAAACCCTTTTGGCTTCCTCACGTCCCCCTGTGTACCTACCCAGTTGGATTTTCTTGGCACACAACCCTACAGTAAAATGGGCTCATTAAATTCCTGTGTGAGCATGAACATACTACTGAGTTGTTGAGTTGTTGCTGGGGCAGGAGGGAAACCATGTCCGGGGCTCCCTTTGCCATCCATCATAGCTCCTGGCTGAGAAATGGCCTTGGCCATGTTATGGGAGCTAAAACCTACCCGAGCTTTGCTGTGTGGATTACAGTGGTGCTGTTGTGGGATGAATGTTGAATGGATGCAAATGTGGTAACAGAAGCCTTTGGGATTGGGTCAGGAAAGAAAATAGGCAGGAAAGTCTTGGCCAGAGAGACATCATAGCACTTAGAGACTTTGGGTAGACTTTGACACAGGCCAAAATAGCAAATCAAGTCTGATAAACTTGGATACTAAGACTGGTCTGTCATTTGTCTTCCTTTTTGTCTTCTTGTTTTCTGCAATGCTTTGGAAGTCAATAGTAGACAAAATGCTGGACTTGAATCTTTAAACAAGGGTCCTTCAAATAAGCTTGCTCTATTCCAAACCTTTTGTCCTGCATTCCCTAGCACCCTGATAGTCCCTGGTGGGCCTCCTCTTTTCCCCTAATATAAGCCCTAATGTACTCCTTGCAACTTTAAATTATTTAAAATATGGTGTCTTTTTTCTTTGTTCTCTGGTAGGGAGCAGTGCTGGGGCCTGTCCAATGTCTATAGCACTCAGTCCAAGGGCAGGCAGGCAGAAGAGACCCTCCAGGCCTGGGCTGTCCTAGTCTACCACCATTTCCCACTACATAGAAGCTGTAAAACTTGTGGTTTACATAACCCAGTTAGCATTCCCCAGCTAATCTACAATCCGGGCTTTGAAGATCACAAGAAAGCAAAGGTCATGACCCCGAGATCAAAGTGACAGAAGCCCACATAGTAATTGCTGGTTACCCTCCATAGAGGCCCTTGGACTGTCCTGTGGGTGTATTGTTTGCACAGAGACTTCAAACATGCTGCTGGAGAACTGTGAGGAAAATCAGCTGGTCTTTGGCAGTTGTCAGATATTCATTAATGCTGTAGGTGAGCTCACTTC